GGGAGAGGAGATCGCTCTGTGAGTGCTGGGTGCTGGCAGACAGGTTACACCAAGAGTTCTCAAAGGAGCCCTCAGGCACTTTGGGGAAGGTGTTTGGTTGTCATGGTGACTGGGGACAGTGATGGTCAGTGACAGACACTGAAAACAACTGTGTCTTTGTAGGATAGTCCAGTCCCCATGGCGAAGAATTACTCTGCTCAGCCTTCAGAATGTCACATGGCTGAAATACCTGCTTATGAATCTGAGCCAGAGTCAGCCTGCCTCACAGGAGGCACAATCAAGTCACAGTGCACTGAATTTTCTAACTAGAGTATGAATGGAGGAGAAAATGATAGTTTGTCTTACTTGAAACTCTTGAGTTGTTTACTACTTTGGAAAATTTTTATTAATATAACCACAGCATCACATTCACAGAGGTGCTCTCTCTTACACACACACACACACACACACACACACACACACACACACACACACACTTTTACTAAACCTTATTTCAAATGTCAGAAAATGTAGATAATTTTCAGCAGAAATTTTCTTGCTCCTCCTAACTCCAGATGCATCCATTGTTACTCCATGTGGCATCTGAGAAAGCCACAGTCTTCTTTTCCCTGTTGGTTGGGACAGAGCCTTCTCCTGTGGCCCTTGCTGTCCTGGAACTCCAAGCCTTGAGGCCCCAGTCTCTAGACTGGAATTATAGGCGTGTGCCAGCACACACAGCTTCTAATGCCTGTAATGTAGCTGTGTCCAAGTGTTTAAGACATCAGACTCCAGAGTGTGTTAAATGACTTGCTTCTTCTTTCTTCTGCAGTTGAAGCTTTTCAAAAATGATATGTATAGGTGCACTGTATCAAACAAAGGTTTTATTGCACACAGTAAAGTGGCATTAGGAATTTTTTGTTATTAAAAGTGCTGTTGGAGTGGCAGCAGAGAGGGGTGATGAATTAGCTCTTGTCACTAGAGAAGACAGAGACCCATCACCAAGTGATTCACCACCCTTCCTGGGCTGACCCTGATGCTGTCTTGTAAGGTTTTGTCTCAGCAGATAACTGTGTCTGGTCTGGATTTAGCAGAGACTGGTGCCCAAAGTAAGGACTCGGAGAATGTACCAACAGTGATGATAAAAAGTTTATCCAAACCCCACAATAACCCATGAGGCTTCTGACAAAGACCGAGCATGGATCCCTGAGTCACAGACGGTGTACAGATTTCTCCTGTACACTGGTCTCCTTTATCAGGCCAAGGCAGGCAGTGACCTGAGCTAAATAGCCAGGACTAAATTTAAGCTTACTGGGACCCTTCCTACCCCATCTGGATCCCTTTGGTGATCTGCCCATCACCTTGGAGTTCTGGTTTGCAAGAAGATGCTGTATTTATAGACCATCTTTCTGAGAAGCCTGAAGGCTCTTTTTGGAGATTAGCTCATGGCAACAGGGGTGGAGGGGAGTGGTAGAGCCAGAGGCTGGTGCCCCTATCCCTGTAAGGCAGAAGAACGAGCTAGTGTGGAGGCCAGAGACTCCCTGAGCCTCTGTCTCCAGAGTGACCTCCTAGGAGTCTCATCAGCCCCTCTTTTCCTGGCTGGCACTGAGATCTTAGCCCACAATAGGCATAAGCAGCTCCAAGGAAGAATCTGCTGCTTCTGTGGTCCCATTTCTCACCTATGATTCTGTTTCTCATGGCCACTGTGACCTGCTGCCAGCTGGCACCGCCCCATCTGGAGCTCTCTATATTGCTCTGTATAAATGCGTACAATATAGGATTTGCTTTTTACAAGAGAAATTGGAGCATTCTGTGTTAACTAGCTGTCCCTGAGCTCCTGGATGTTGCTGGGAGTTTAGATGCCTCCACCAGGCCTGGCTGAAATGTAGCTATGGTTTGGTGAGTGTCTGCCAAGGATTCATTACCACTGAAGCCTTGGTCTGCATGGTGATGTGTCGTGATAGTAGGACCTTTGGGAGGTGGAGTCCCAGGAAGTCCTAAGGTAGACCATATTGGTAGAGGATGATTCTGAAAGAATCAAGCCCTACCTATCCTCCTTCTCTGACCTCTTGTTTGACATGTAGCCCACATGTTCCTATAGGTTTCCATCATAATCCATTGTCCTTACCAGAGGCCGAACCAACAGAGACTCCAACTGTAGCAGGAATCTTCAAAGTTCTTATTAATAAAAACAAACCTGGAGCCAGGTATTGGGGTGAATGCTGGAATATCAGAGAGACAGAACAGGCCACAGCTACCTCACCTTGCCAATTCTTCAGCTGATCCTGTTTCCTCGGACTGGAAACCTCTGAGTCCTCATCCGAATGGATCTCAGCTGAACTGCTTCTCAAAGGCCTGAAAGCTTAACCAGCTTAGTTCCTGGTCCTCACACCTTATATACCTTTCTGCTTTCTGCCATCACTTCCTGGGATTAAAGGCTCACTTCATGGGATTAAAGGTGTGAGTCACCATGCCTGGCTGTTTCCAGTGTGGATTTAAACTCACAGAGATCTGGATGGATCTCTGCCTCCCAAGTGGTAGGATTAAAGGCGTGTGCTACCACTGCCTAACCTCTATGTTTAATATTGTAGCTGTTCTGTTCTCTGACCCCAGATAAATTTATTAGAGCACACAATATTTTGTGGAATACAATACCACCACATCCAACCATGTCCAATCTTGCACTTTGAAACTCAAAACAGTGAGCTACAAAAATGTTTTATCTGTGGAAGTTAGCTGCTTCAGGTATTCTGTTGCAGTCATGCAAGGCTGATAGATGCAGCAAGGTGGTGGCATTGGGAGGACACTTACCATGTGTAACCAGCATCACCGTTCTTCTTCATGACTCACACACTAAACTCTGTGCCCTGTAAACCACTGACTCCCAATTCCTCCTCTCATCCCAACTCCTGGTCACCACTGTTCCATTTCCTGTCTGTGAACTGTCTGCCTATTCGAAGTGACTCCTGGAGAAAGGATCCCCACCAAATCTTTCCTTGTCTGACTTTTTTCCATTTACAATATAACTTCAAGGCTCATCCACCATTGTAGCTGCAGACTGGACCCAAAGCCCTCTTCTCAGATCCAACAAAAGCACCCCACATGGGGCTGTTAGCTTCCTTGCTTGTAGAGGAAGCTGATGAAGTGGGATGCAGATAGCTTGATTCCATACTTAGACTGTCACCAAATTTGTCTCCAGGATCCCTGGTCTCACCTACTGTGCAGCCTTTCCTATTCCTCACGTCAGCTTGTCAGGAGCAGAAAAGAGCAGGGGCACTCAGTGGAGCCTTCAGGCCAACAGCACACAGTGTTTAGTGTAAGCTTGCTCCCATGTACTGAAGCTAGCCTGGGCTACATAAGACCATGTCACTTACGACAACAATAACAATTACTATTATGTATTACTACTACTAATAATAAAATTAATTGTTCTTTTTAGAAATTTCACTGCACTTATTTGTTTGTTTGTTTGTTTGTTTATGCAGGTGTGAATATTGGTGTGAATATATAAACGCCACAGGGCACATATGGAGGTCAAAGGACAACTTGCAGGAGTCAGTTCTCTCCTTCTACCATGTGGGGCCCAGGGATCAAACTCAGACTGTCAAGCTTGGTGGCACATGTCCTTATCGGCTGAGTCATCTAGATGGCCTGAAATTATTCACTCTTTATCCAGAACACTAATATGCCTTGTGTCTTCCCTAAGAGCCCCGCCCCTGATGCCCCTTCATGCCGTCGGCAGTCCCCTGCTTGCTTTACCTATTTCAGCCTTATGTACCTGTGAGGGTAGGCAGCTGTCAGTGAGAATCTCAGCTCCATACACAGCTGGTGGTGGACCATCTAGTCCCGCAGCTTCATTGCGAGGGGTAGCTAGGAAGGAGGTCTGAGGATTTTCTCACACACTATTGAAATGCACCCTACCTGGCTAAGTACCAAATTTTGAGTCATGGGATTCCAGTTTGAGAGCCAGGCAGGACTCAGAGAAGCACCTCAGGCATTTTTCTTTGTTACCCTGCCCCATCGTGAAGCCTCCTCCTACCCAGCTCATTTAGGTTCCTGGCAGAGGGAGGCATTATAGGAGACTTACATCATTACCCTGATGCTAGGTTGCTTGCTGGAAGCATCTCTAAGATGGGACTCTTGGCATCTCGGCTGAGCTCTGCCCCACGGGAAGGGCAGGTGTTCTGGGAGATGCCTAGACCCCAGAGTGCTGGTTCAAGCCCCGGGCTCATCAGTGGGGCCTACACTTGCCTTCCCCCAGGGGAGGGGACTCTAGCAATCATACATGCAAGGGTCTGTCATAGGGTCTTGAGAGGAATGGCCTGCCCCTGATCTCTGCTGCTGGCCTCGCATCTGCGCCTTTTCCCAGGCTGCAAGGTCATGCTTGTCCAGCCCTGTGCTGTGAAGTCAAGACCCGGATGGACATGAAGACAGAGAGATTTTATCTCAGAGGGCAAAACTTAAGGAGGCTGTCCAAAACTGCCATAATCATTATAAATACATTTCAGTGTGATATTCTAAAAAAAAAATCTAAATGCATAATGAAAAACACCTAAGTTTTAAATCAAGATGACAAGCCATATTGATTTTCCTCTGCCCACACTTCGCACTATTTGCCTTTTGAGGCCAGGAGTTCTCAGTCTTATTACACCCTCACTCCACGAACCCATCTGATAGGTGCTCACTAAAAAACCTGAATGGAGGAATACATGAATAGGCAGATACACTGAGAGCACACAGGTTTAGCTAGAAAATGCTTGGAGAACGAGTGCTCCTAATCAGGGCATGAAAGGGCCCCTTTCATCTGTTGAAGCAAGTGGTGAAGGAGGTGCATGAATGATTACCGCTAAGTCAGCTCCGGGTTCTGAGCCGCCTCTGTGGAGTGCCAAGTTTTCTTGTCCAGGCAGCAAGGCTCAGCGGTCCTAAGACCCCTTTGGCTTTCTGCCACAGCGACACTCCCGAGACAGACAGATCCCTTCCCCACATGCCCCGCCCCCTGCTTACAGTAGCTGTGAGTAAGACGACCGGAAGCTGACAGCGGAGCCCTGCGCAGCTGTGGGAACCCCATGGATAGGTGCCTGTCGATGGCTGGGCCACGAGATAACGCCCGGTTCCTGTCACCTTTGGTCTTCTGCTGTGGTTTATGGTAAGCATTTCTCTTTTGGCCAACAAACAGTTCTAGGAATCAGGGGGAACACTGAATCCTTAGGGCTGGGAAAAAACCGACAGATGCTGGCGGGCTGAAATGTTCCCCTCAGGCTGAACCCACCCCAAACATCACTGCAGTCTGAGATGTCTTTAGGCTGTTGCTCAGAGTTGCCTTGAACAGAGCATCTGTTCTGGAAGTTTCTAAGCAAAGGAGTTCCCTCAAAGCCGGCGCCTTTTCCCATTCAGTTCAAGCCGGCTCCTTTGTTGTCTCCCCATGATGAGGGAGGAGGCAGAGAATAGGCACACACAGCCCCAGCAGGGACCAAACACAGAGAACAGAACACTGGGGTCCAAGCCCTGGCTCTGTCCCTTCTTAGATATATGCTGTTGGGCGAGTCACTTCGGAAACTCAGTTTCCCTATCTGTAAGCTGGATGTGATCATTAAGGAGCTTCCTCATAGAGCTGTCCTGTGAATGAAAACCAAATGGCTTTGAACAGATCCTGGCCCATAAGCAACAGTCAATTCAAGTCAGTCTTCTTGGAATCACAGCCCTTTATTGAATTCAAATAAGTACAAACCGGTCATCAATAACTCCAGTGGCACGATGTGTATCCTACATTACAGAATAATTTTTCACTCCTAACTCATATAAAAAAAATAAGCCATAAAGACTGTTTCAAGCTGAGGGTAAGTTTGGAACCTAATATGCATCCATCCCCTTGCAGAGAGGCTTTCTCCCTCATCCACATCTTACAAACAGCAGAAGTTGGGATTAGGTAGTTGGACTCCTTATTCTCCCTCATAATGTCTGCTTCCCTACACTGTCAGAACGTGTACAAACAGGACCACTCACATAGGAGTGCTCGTATCCACAGCAGAAAAGACTCAATTAGGCATCCAATTAGGGAGCTAGGGATGTAGCTCAATGGTAGAGCACTTGCCTTGCTCAAAAGGTCGGGTTGGGGGTGTCCTGTGTTCATCCCTAACACTGAAAAAAATTCACACTGTGAAAAATGTTTTTTCTTGCTCTTTTGTTGGTGGGGGTAGAAACTTGGGGTGAATTACTATCTGTACCATCAGGCCTGGGGAGACACTAAAATAATGCAGACCCCCAAAACAGAGTAAAGACCATGCTCTGCAGAGATATTTATGTCTTAATTATGTGGGTTTAAAAGGCTACAGCTTTGTTAGGAGGCCCAAATTATAGTCTTGACCCCTTAACAGGTACTGGCTGTGGAACGCTGGGCAATTTGGTCACTTTCTTGGATCTTAGTCTTTATGTGTATAAACAAACTTACAAAAGCTTATTTCTGACAGAAACCACAGAGTTCAGGAAATGGGTCTGCATTTTATTGCTCCTGTAATTTTATAAGGTGGAAAGATACATTTTGGGGGCACATAAAAATAAGTGGTGAATAGAGCTGGAGAGATGGCTCAGCAGGTAAGAGCATGGACTGCTCTTCCAGAGGACCTAGGATCGATTCCCAGCACCAACATGGTGACTCACAACTGTCTGTAACTCCAGTTCCAGGGGATCCAACTCTCTTCTGGCCTCAGGGGCACTGCTTACATGTGGTACACAGACATACATGGAGGTAAAGCACCCATATACAAAAAAAATGGACTTTATTAATTAAAAGAAAAAAATTGGTAAAGATGATAATACTTAGAATCTTTTGAGAGTGTTTATTTTTGCCATATTTTAGTGTCAAGTAACACTGGACTGTGCTCAAGGATGGAGATGGGAGAGAGCATGCAAAATATAAAACCCTTTGAACATCCAGCAGAAATCAGCTGGGGAAGCCGCTGTAAGGCAGCCAGCTGGAGTTCCCAACCCAGATGCCCCAGTGAAACAATGTCCCCTCGGGCGAGCCTTACCAAAGAAAAGAACAAACAGTAGTAGGAAGATGAGATCAGCAAATTGGGCACGCCTAAAAATCATCATATACCAACCAGGGAAGTTGAGGCAGCTAGCTGAAATTCCTGATTGAACCTTCTCTTTTCAGCTGAACTTGTGGCTTATCATTCTCACTGTAGCCCTGTTATACCACAGGGTGAAAAACAGTCTGTAACTAGAATTTTCCTGCCTTGCCCACTGTCAGGACAAATTTCTGTCACCCACCAGTCCCATAGCCGCTCAGACCCAACCAAGTAAACACAGAGACTTATATTGCTTACAAACTGTATGGCTGTGGCAGACTTCTTGTTAACTGTTCTTGTAGCTTAAATTAATCTATTTCTATAAATCTATGCCTTGCCACGTGACTCGTGGCTTACCAGCATCTTTACATGCTGTTTGTCATGGCGGCAGCTGGCAGTGACTCCCTTTCCCTTCCTGTTCCCTTAATTCTCCTCTCTGTTAGTCCCGCCTATACTTCCTATCTGGCCACTGGCCAATCAGTGTTTTATTTATTGACCGATCAGAGCATTTTGACATACAGACCATCCCACAGCAACAGTCCCATCTGATGGAGATGGTTTGCATTCTCAAAGGCATGTGTCTTTGCCCTTGAGCTGTTTCATTATTTTCTTCCCTCTCTGTCACTGAGTTAGAGACCCTTGCCTGGATAAGGGGACTTGGAGGACACGACATAAACATAAGGGGTATGAAGTGGGAGGGGCAGCCCCATTTCCAGAGATAGCTTCTCAGTGAGCTCAAGCAGCACATGGCAGTTTACCAACATAATACACATTACATGAGGTCAAATTAATGAAAGTCAAGGGAATGTCTGGTGTTTTGATACTTTCTCTGGAGTCAGGAGCTAGAATATTTGTTCATGTGTTGTCAGTCATAAAGCAGGCACTGTGTCTTTACCTGGGTATAAAGGAGGGTGACAGAAAGCAAAGGGGCAATGCTCAAGGGGCTTACAATACAAGGATGGAAACAAGCCATGACACAGAGCATCAGTCATCAGCAACATGTAAATGGAATAGTGCTGATGAGAGGACTCAAAACAGTTCAGCTGTGTTGAGTGTATAGTGCAGGAGGGAGACAGAAGTCTGGCTTTGACAAGTTATAATTAACATCTCTGAGCACTAGTTTTTCTCACCTCTAAGGAGAATATCCATCTTGGCCATCTCAAGTCTAATGTCATGGACTGATGGCTTGCAGAATGGAACTCTGTTTTTCAGAGATCTGAAGGCTGGAGAGATGGATGGAGATGCCACCATGGTGAGTTCTTAGCAAGAGATTTCTTCTTGGTTGTGTCTTCAGAGAGAGTTTGAGTCTTCTCTTCCTTTTATAAAAGCCTTCATCCCTTGTAATGCCTAATCTCCTAATCTCTAATCTCCTTCCCCAAACCCAATCTTCAGATGTCCATCACATGGGATATCAAGTTAATATATGGATTTGGAGGTGGGGTTACAAGCAACAACAGTAACCAAGGCTGTTTGCTGGCATGGTTGGGAAGACACAGAGGCAGCCATGAGCAGCACAACACAGATGCACACTGAGCTGGCTAGTTTTATGTTAACTTGACACAAGATAGAGTCATCAGGAAGGAGGGAGACTCAGCTGAGAAAATTCCTCCGTAAGATTGAACTTTATGCAAAATTGTAGGGCATTTCCTAGTTAGTGATTGATGGGGGAGGGCCCAGTCCATTGTAGATGGTGCCACCCCTTGGTTGGTGGTCCTGGATTCAGTGAGAAAGCAGGTAGAGCAAGCCAGTAAGCAACATGCCTCCATGACCTCTGCATCAGTTCCTGCCTTCAGGTTCCTACCCTGTTTGAGTTCCTACCCTGACTTCCTTCAGTGATGGACTATGATGCGGAGGTGTAAACCAAATAAACCCTTTCTCCCCGCCCCACCCCCATGCTTTTCCTCATAGTGTTTCATCACAGCAATAGTAACCCTAACTAAGGCACACACTGAGCAAGTCTGAGCATTAGCTGTTGCTGTTCTGATGTTGTACAGGCAGAAATGCTTGTGTGGGTCAAAGGTGAACCTGTGTCCTCCTCACTGAAAAACAGGGAACTCACCAAAGATCAAGAAAGCTAGGCTAGCCCTGAGACATGACTGGTTCTGCTCGGTAGACTTTCTTTGTTGCCCAAAGAGCAATATCAGAAAGTGATTGGCACAGCATCCTACATAAAGTGTAATAATTTGGTAAATGTTTTGGGTGGATGGACAATTGGATGGTCTACAAAGTTGTTCCTAGAAGTTTCTTGTTTACCTTATTAACCAAATTACCAAACATGTCTTAATTGGATTATGCTTTTCTCCCCAAAATAGTTCCAGAGTCACAAGATGAATGTTCACGTGTATACCTCCACACAAGAAACAACACACATGGAAACTGGGCCCAAGTTGAAATCAAGACCCCCCACTCACACTTTTAGAAAGACACCCCACACATGGTCTTGAACAAAAGATACCTTCATTGGGTGTCTTGAATTCAGATGCTGAGATAAGGCAGGCTAGTCTTCCAACAATTGAGAAAGGCCTGATTGGGGGAGGAATGGAGCTAGGAAGTATAGAGCCCAGGGAAGAGTCATGCCTGCAGTAAGAGCATCCTGTGTGTGTGTCAGGGGCGGGGGGAGGGGCAGTGTAAGAGAAAATACTTCCCAGGACCAGCATAAGAAGGAACTGCCAGCATGTATACACCCATGTTCACATGGTATAGTCCACAACCATAGTAAAAAAAAACACATTCAGAGTTTAATTATGAATACAATGATAAATTACAAAGATAGACACCACAGATACAAATCAGGGCTGATATGTTGTTTTTCCAAAAGAGTATGGGCAGATAAGTGTAAATCCAAGGTCTCTGCCTCCCTAAAATACAAAACCAAAAAAAAAAAAAAAAGAAAGAAAGAAAAGAAAAAGAAAAAAACAGGAGTCTAGACCAAGCAATTCAGACCAAGAGGACCAGAGATAAACCAAAAGGAGGTATGGACAAGTATTTTAAAGTCAGAAATATGTGGTCAGAAGGGTCACAAGGATCATTTATACCTATTGAACTGGCAAAAGATAAATAACATAAAAAGAACATC